ATATATATATATATATATATATATATATACACTGTGTGTGTTATTTACAACCTATATAAATATAATATATATACAGGGGCTAACAAAGTTCTTTCTATCTAGGAATATAGCTATAAATACACATACTGTGTATTTACATACTACATATATCTATACACATATATAAATGTACACACATACTGTATTTACAATATATACATACATGCATACATATATATAAATATATTTTATTACCCAGTGTGACAGCATAGGACATGTCCACAGACTGATAATAATAATTATTATTATTAATGATAATAATTATATTAGTAATTATTATTATTATTATTAGAATTCTATTGATCCCACATTCTTGTGTTAGCAGCCGACCTGCCGTAACAGGTATGTATGTGGTTCCTCTGGGAATTGAACCCAGGACTACCTGCTCTCTGTCTCCGAGGTAGACGTGCTAACCGCTACACTATGGAAACACCATTAAAGAGGTCAGTTGATAACTGACAGAGAGAGTTGACCACATGGACTACAGGTGGTGGTCAGTGCAGTTGTTAGCTTTAAAGGACATCTATTAAATCATCCATCCATCCATCCATTTTCTTCCGCTTATCCATTACCGGGTCGCGGGGGCAGCAGTCGCCACCCAAATCACACTGCACCGTACCAACCCCCCCAAACCTTCCTGCGGGTGGTGAGTCCACTGGAAGGTACCAACCGCCCTAACCGGGATTCGAACTTGCCCAGGAGGTGAACCCTGGGGTTCCACACCAATGACAGAGACATTGCCTCTGGGCCAAAACGCCACATCTATTAAATCAGTCGTATATATTTTATATTCCCTGGTTCTTCTATGCGTACAGTTCTGTTGATGCCTACCTCTGTGATGGGAGATTTGGGGTTGACGTTTCGGGCTGCTGCTATCTCCTGGAGCTGGTTGACCAGCTCTGTGATGGACAGACGGTCATCTGGGTTGACCTTCAACATGGAGCCTGGTGAGACAGGACAGGTTAAGGTAACGCTTTAATAAAATATTTCTTTAAATAGAAATCGTTAAAAAAAAAGAAAAGAAGGGAAGTACATACGTATCAGTTCATGATACACCGTGTACTGGACATCATTCTGAGGGATGGAGTATTTCCCATTCACGATCTGCAGCTTGGCCCCGTCCTCGAACGGGTGCTGCTTAAAACACAACAGGTACAGGATGCATCCCAGAGCCTACAGGGGCGAGAAGGAATTACAGTTAAAGTCGACCAATAAAATCACACTAACTAACTAGTGAATTCATGCAATGCACAGTGTTGGTTCTGACCCAGATGTCTTGTTTCTCATTGATGGGGAAGTTGGAGTAGATGTCGATCATCTCTGGAGTTCTGTACGCTGGGGTCGTGTTCCGTGTGATCTACGGAGGTACACAAAGGTGGTTTATTTTTATTTGTAAATCTTTGAAAATGATAATACAATATGTTAAAATAAGGCATAGACTTTGAAAAGAAATAAGACGAAGTCGCCGGTGCTATTCCCATGGCTAACATGTAGCCTAACCCAGTGTTTCACAAACCTTCACCACCCAGGTCAATAGACGAACCCAAAAACAAAACAAAAAAATCTCTTGCGAGCCACCTGAGGGTTGCGACCCAGTCTTTGGGAAACAATGGCCTAACCTGTCGAAGCCTGACTATTCTGTCCAGCAGCTGCCGGAATAATTTTATATTCAAATCTCTGGGGTCCTGTGTACTTCCTGTATGTGAGCCTGCGGGTCTGTAGTATTAACGTAATAAACTCAAATGATCGGTACTTCCTCCCTGCGCACTGATTAATGGAATTAAATGGTTTCTGGTTCCTGTTCCGTCGCGTGATGCCAGCAGGGTTATTTTCAGCCTCTGGTGATGGACTCACCGTCATTGATGATGAGAGTGAAAATAGTTACAATAATATTTATAAATTAGAACTAAGATTAAATTTAACAAAAAAGTATCAGACACTGTAATAAATAGAAAAATGATAAAAAAAAATTATCAACAAAGAAAAAACTACAGCAAAAACAGTGAAAGTAAAAACCTAATATGATTAAATATATGAATAAAATTATATGTCTGTCGAAACACATTCAAATTGCATTTATTTAAATTTTTTCTGCCAGATTTTGAAATGGCTGACAATCCTGATTAATCACGAATAATTTTTATCACGATTAATCGTGGCTCATGATTAAACCACGGAAAACCGGTGAATAAACAGATTTTAATTTTAACAGATCATCAGTGTTTGTGAGTGTGTGTATGTGTGTGTGTGTGGGTGTGTACCTCGTCCTCCACCATGGACCTCTTCTGTGCCGACCAGCTGTAGTCAGGGTAATGCGACACTGTGGTGGCGCTGCCAAAGTCACAGAGCTTGACGGTGCCCTGGTTACTAATTAAGAGGTTCTCAATCTGCAACACATCAAAGGAAGTGCTGTGATATCGACCGTTGTGTTCATAAGCGTCACCGGCGGCGAGGGTGACCGCGGTGAAGTTGGCATTCATTTACACAAAAATCCAGATTTTTTTTTTTTTCTTTAAAGACAAACGACTGCAGTTTCTGAATGGAAACTGCAGGAAACAGAACAGAAAAAAAAGAAGGTCCCAGACAGGACGTGTTTCATCATCGTGTCTTTCAGTTAAGTTAAAGTGACTGCACTGACTAGGTGACACCCTGAGGGCAGTAGACAGCAGGCAGTAGACAGACCAGTAGGATGTGAAACTACAGGTACAGTTTCATTTCTGTTTAGTTGTATTTAGCGCTCCGTGGTCGTAGCCTGACGTACCTTCAGATCCCGGTGAATGATCGGAGGTTTCTGTTTGTGCATGTGCTGCACGGCGCGACACGCCTGGTAGAAGATTTTCAGCACTGTGTCACATGACATGGGGGCGCGCTGCTCTACCCGCTTCATGAAGTCCACCAGCTGACCTGAGGTGGAAGACCAGCAGGTGGGTCAGGAGCACAGCACAGAGCGCACCAAGAGTTTTTAGGGAAAACATTAGGGTTTTATGGGTATTTTAAAAGGGAAAAAAAGATATTTGAAAGTTATTGATCCCATATTTGAGAAATTCTTGTGTTAACAACTGATCTGATCTGCAACAGGCAGGCGCCAAGTATGTGGTTTCTCTGGGAACTGAACCCAAGACGCTCTT